GATCGCTACAAATCCACATTTAAGACGCGGTACGAGCATTTGAGTAGGTTGTCATGCCTTTGGGCCTCACCAATGCCCCGACGACTTTTCAAGTGGCGATAACCAAAGAGTTTCGCGCGATGTTGAACCAGCTTGTGTCGATCTACTTGGACAACATTCTTATCTATAGCCGGCCCTTGGAGGACCATCTCGAGCATCTTCGACGTGTGTTGGAGACGCTCCGTCGCGCCAAGTACAAAGCCAATTGCGACAAGTGTGAGTTTGTGCATCAAGAGTTGGAGTATTTGGACCATTTCGTCACATTGAGGGCATAAGTCCATTGTCGGACAAGATTCAAGTCGTCCAAGAGAGGTCCGAACCGAAAAACATTACGGATGTCCGCTCGTTTCTCGGCCTCGCCCGGCTACCATCAACGCTTTATCAAAAGCTATTCAAAGATTGTGGCTAATTTGACCAAGCTTCGATGCGAGGACCGACCGTTTGACTTTGACGAGGACGCGCGGGCTTCATTTTTGGCCCTCAAAGTCGCCTTCCTATCTGCGGAGGTTTTACGCATCTATGACCCGCTTTCGCTAACTCGAGTCACTACTGATGCATCCGACTATGGCATGGTGTCATCCTCGAGCAACAAGATGGCGTGGATTGGCACCCGGTCAAGCACTTTAGCAAGAAGGTGTCCGTCATGCACTCAATTGACGACGCACGGAAGAAGGAATTATTGGCCCTCGTACACGCGCTTAAGCGGTGGCGGTATTTTCTTCTTGGTCGAAGTCAATTCGGATGGGTAACGGATAACAATCCGTTGGTCTTGACACGGTTAATATTACCATCACCCATTGGATGGCTTTCATCGACCAGTTTGACTTCTTCCCCGGCCACATCCCGGGACAGTCAAACCGTTTTGCAGATGCTCTTTCATGGCGCCCGGACCTTTGTACCGCGGTCTATTCGACTTTCGAGGCTGACGATGACTTGCGGGACAGCTTCGTCAACGGCTACCAAGTCGACCCCGAGTTTCACGACAAGTACGTTAATTGCTCCTCTCCAAATCCGACTCCATCACATTATTGGATCCAAGAGGGCTATTTGCTAGTCCACTCGCGGGGGAGGATATTCTTTGCGTACCAAGTGATCCACACTTGCGTACACGGCTTCTTGGCGAGTTCCACGATGCTCTCGCCACTGGACACTTTGGAGTCAATTGTACGATTGGCCGACTTCATAAGCGCTTTTGGTGGCCCGGCCTCCTCGGCGACGCCACACACTATTGCAAGTCATGCGAGGTTTGCCGACGTCGCAAATCCCGCAACCATCATCCGTTCAACGAGTCGTGACCATTACCGGTCCCTTTCGGACGACAGGAATCGATTGCCATGGACATTACCGGGTCGTTCGCCAAGCACAATACCGGCATGGATGGGGTTCTCACGGTGGTCGATCGACTCACCAAGTTTGCCACATTTTTGCCTCACCGCTATCACGCCAAAGCACTGGAGTTGGTCGAGGTTTTTTACGCCAATTGGATTCGGACCAAGGGTTGGTTGGCTCTCATCAAATGATGGGGCTCATCCCTCAACCTGAGTTCGGCTCGCCACCCACAAACCGATGGCCAAACGGAGCGGGCGCATCAAAACGTACAAGTTCTTCTTCGCACTCTCTTTCGTCCCGACCAAAAGGATTGGGTTGAGTGGCTTCCGGACGTTGAGTTGGCTTACAACTTGTCCACCCATCCGGCTATCGGGATGTCACCCTTTGAGTTTGAGCATGGCTTGCCGTTGGACACCATCATCCCACGGGCGGCCGAGAGGGACGACCACCTTGTCTTCATTCGACAGATGCAAGAGCTCCTTGTCAAGGCACGAGACCAGATGTTGAAGACGCAGCAACGCATGAGCCGTCAAGCCAATCGCCAACGTCTTCCTTGTCCATTCCGCACAGGCGAACCTCGTTTGGGTCTCCGCCGCAAAATTCAGACTCGAACAGGATATCTCTCGCAAGCTCCTCCCGAAATGGATGGGGCCTTGGCGCATTATAGCACCCGCTGGTGACACACCCGAAGGACCTTCATTTGTCATTCAAGTGCCCGCCCACTTGTCCGGCCACCCGATTTTTCGTTGTTCAAAGTTGGCTCTTTTCGTTTCGGTGGAACGCGACAACTTTCCTGGCGACGATCGCAAGACCCACCCTCCATGGACGGTTTTCAAGAGGTCAGCGACATCATTTTCCAGCGCCGCTATGGCACCAAGCCGGTAGAGTACTTAGTACACTTCTCCCATAGCAGCCATAAGGCTGACCGTTGGTTGACCCGTGCGGAACTTCAAGCCACAGCCCCCAATGTCCTTGCACGTTACGAACGCAAACAGCAAGGCAAGCCGATACCTTCAGCTCCACGCCGAACTCGTGTCCAGCTCCACCATCGGATCATCACCTTCGCCCTCGACCTGGCTTGACTTCATAAGGAGGGGGGGGGGGTTACATGTTGAGCCTGCACATGGGCCCCATTTTGGGGGCCCGTCAGTTGCTGGGGGTCCCCAGGCCGGACGCCATTCAGGATTCGCCCTGGAGGCCCACAGCCGACGTTAGGGCCACAGGATTCGATTTGAGGCAGCATTCATTAATTTATTTATGTATTTGATGTCCTATTTTTGTCTGTTCAGGCATTGTTTCAGACTTGCAGTTCGTCCGAACATACTTTCGGTTTGTTAGGGACAAAGGCCCCCTTCTTCGCTCGCACTCGGGCCCAGGGAGGGCCTGGATGTCCGATAGAGACCCAGGCAGGCCGTTTCAGGCCAGCACCAGAGGCACACCAGCGAGGCCCGGCGCTACATATAGCTGGACCAGGCCAGGACAGATAGACATTTCGAGTAGCTCACTTCTTGGGCGACACGCTGTTGGAGCAGCGCGACACAGCGCTGCACTAGATGTAGAGGAGTCGGTAGAGGAGTCTGTAGAGAGAGAGAGCGACAGAAGCGGTGGCCATACCTGCAGTGGAGGTACTTACCTAGCCACCATAGCTGGAGTCCTCGCCAGCAACCTGCATCAGAGACACGCCGGCGGCAGCTAGTACATGGCGGCAGTTCCCTGCAGGTGAGACGGAGAGAGAGAGTTTACAGGCAGAGGTTACATCGTGCTATGAGGCCCAGGCTCTGAGTCGACATTTTTGTGGCAGAGATTGGTTATATATTCAGCGGGGATACTATTTTTGGACTTCGCTAGCACGATCTTGGTCTTCTCCCTCCTCTCCATCTTCATCTCGCCTCTCCCCCCATCTCCTCTTCCGTGGTATCTCCCCACGTGCGTGCTCAAGGAGGGACCTTTCTTCCATGTATGCGGTTCCTCCTCTCACTCTCACATGTGTGGTATATGATGGGGTGTCGCGTCAGTATCTGACAAATCAGGTCATATCTTTGAGTCGTCTGTTGCGCTACATTGTGCTATTTCCGTATGTGTCTGGATGTACATTGCTTGTTGATGCTTTGCTGACACTCCATTGTCCATTCGAGTCCTTTTCATCACTTTGCGGATCCTTGGCTCCATACACAGCGCTCGATTGAGCATGTATCAGCTGGACACAAATGGGGAATAAGTCAGCCAAAAGTTGTCTGGGTCCGTGTACTGATGGTTTAAGCTAGCCTACTCCCAATTTTTTGCTGCTCCCCTCCGTAAAGGACGTGCCGCACAAGCGTACTGCCTCCTAAAAGGGATTCTTTTCTTTTCTTCTTTCCCCCCCTGGCACCTGCTCTATTGATACGACTGGAACGAAGTACATACCATTTGGCGATCAGAGTTAGACTTACGACATCAATTGGGTTCTGCTTGGTTCTTCAAGGAGAGAAAAAACAGTTTAATATCAGCAATTCCGGAGGCACGGAGAAGCCTACTGACTTCGGAGACCTGGAGGCTCCTGGCACTTGGTATACTAGCGACTCCCCTTGCCCCACAAGGGTCTGGAAGCTGATCTGGATTGAGCCAACTGGCAAGCGGGTATTCAATGTTGCAATTGTGAGCCGAGCCCCAATATGTCGATTGAAGAACCGCAAACAGAACCGACCATTGGGATTGCTCTGTCCGATAAGAGTGTTTGAGCAATTGACCTTTTCTTGTTTTCTGCATAGAAAAACCATCATTTCTTTGCACACAAATAACTGAAGCTTCGCCCTTGCCGTTAGGCGCGATCACCAAAAAAAACATTGACGCCTGCCTGGATATGGGTTCGATTCCTGTTATCCACAATTGCGACTTGATGGGAAAAAAAAAGACTCAGATAAATAAAATGTGCATATCAAAATTTAAAACTTTTCGACAAAATCTTGGAAAATGTCTGGCAAACCTAGGCTAGCAGAGTGGCCCGGGGTCACTTGCTCGGCCGGGCCAAAAAAATAAAAATATTTTTTAATTTTATTTTTTATTTTAAATTTGGTAACGAATGTGGATGTGACCCTGAAGCAAAAGTTGTTGAGTTTATTTTTTTGAATAACATAGTTCTTTTTTTCAGATTTTTTTATTTTCTTTGTTTTCTTTTTTGTGCTATGACCTTCCCTGATCCTTGCACGGCCGGGCCGTCCGGGAAAGTAGGGTGACCCGGGCGGCCCGGCTGGTAGCCTAGTGGCAAACAAAAAAACTTACTCAAAAACAATATATATATTGTCACAAAAAATATCAGAGCGCAAATGCGAAAAAAAGAAAGAAAAAAAGGAAGAAAAACAGGAAAAATTTTCAAAAAATGAATTCAGTTTTTTTTTATCGTCTTCCTTATAACTCCCCCTGTTCAGAACCTCTTGCGTACAAGGCCGCCCACGTGGATGTAGGTAGAGCGGAGGCTGCCTCCACCCCCGTGTGTCATATCGACCCACTTGCACACAGCCAAAAGGCAAAGAGGCAAAGAAAAGAGGAAGGGAACAACCAAATAATATAGAACGATAATTGCCATTCCAATTTTTTTGGGGGGCGCGGCGGTTGGCGCTGGAATAGCGCTCTAAGTGCGCGCTACCGGCGTAGCGGCCGGTTCGGTGGCCTCTGGCAGGTACCAACTTGATACGGCGAGGGGAAAGAAGCGGGTCCGGCTCGGCATCTTCCGAGCAACCGCCCTACGCGACGGCGGACGTCCACTTCTGCTATCGACCCGGAGTAGGTGAGCTATGGTGTCGTAAGAGTGAAGAAGAATTTGGGAAGCGAATGAGAATCGGGTGGGTGTGCGCCATCACTGGCGCTCACCTTTGAATGCTCAAAGACGTACGGGGGACAAAGTCAGAGAGTGGACTAATAGGAGCAGAGGCACGTCAGGGCAGAGAGAGGAAGCTGATTATGACGAGACAAAGGTGAAAGGACAGACTTCAGGAGCAGCGACGCAACAATCAAGGGAAAGGAAGAAGACGCAGAGAAGTACAGGAAGCTGGCCTGGTCGAGCGGTCAGATGGCGACGAATCAACAGCAACAGGGAGAAGGCAATAGCAGAGCGGGCAGATCTCCCCCTCGAGATCGAGATGTGGGACTAGCTGAAGAAATGAGGGTAAAGCTCCTCATTGCAAAATGTTTTGAAGATGGTATCACTCCAGAAAACCTCTGTCATGGAGAATTTGTGATGGAAAATGGGGTAAAGATCTTCAAGGTAGATGAAAATGTGGGTAGATTGACGACAACGTGGCTCAAAGAGAGAGTGGTCACAGTCATCTTTCAAGGAGCAGCAAGGGATCTCCCTCTGAAAGTGAGGGAAAATCTAAGGGCATATGAAAACGGATGGACGCGCCAGCGAATTTTTGATCGAACGGTACGAAGAGGGAGAACTCACGGTGAGGGGCCAAATATTATCTCCTATATTGCAATGACTACCGAAATAGCACAGTGGATGGTGGCCAAGGCAGAGGACAAGGTAGTAGTGGGGGGAGTAGAGTACGCAATGCTCTTCAAACCGTGGATGACGAGGAAAGAGTTGGAGGATAGGAGAAGAGTGGACGAGGAAACGAAGTTTTGGGTGATTGCATTGAGAGTTCCGATTCGGGCAGCGTTCCACATTCACGACATGCTAGAGAAGTCAATGGGCATGGTGGTCAAAGCATATGACGCGGAGCCTGATAAAACTCGACCGAAGTTGATGAACAGAAAGTATGATCTCGTAAAGGAGGCGGAGGGCAATTTTGAGCAGGAGCTACCGATGAAACTGGAAGACGGCGAAGTTCTGACGATAAAGTTTGTATGTAAGCATACTCATTGGTGCGACCGATGTCGCTGGTGTTTCCATACGGCTGATAATGGATGTCCTCGTGCAGAAGAAGAAGCAGAGCAAGATGGCGCGGGAGGAAGATCGGGAGGTAACTTCAATTTTAACCCCAGGACGGCGGATTTTCGGTCAGCGGGCTTCCAGAGGGGCATCGAGGAAGCAGCCAGAGACATGCAAGTAAGAAGCGGACAGAGACAACAGTCAGCCGTCCAATCTGGAGGGAGGATACCAAGAGGGGAGTCTTCCAATCAAGCACAGCACTCAGTCTTGCAGACACGAGGAAGAGGGATCGCAGAACAAGACCCAAGAGGTTGGCAGCCACAAGGAGGTGGGACGCAACAAGCCCAGCAGATGGTTGGGAACAACCCCATAGGAGGAGGCCCGGTCGGCGCTTTCATCCCGTATGTGAGCAGTGGCCTGCATCCCTGGCAAACCCAACAGGCGGCAGGGATATGGCAACATGCACATGCACGGCAAGATTCAGGAAGGATGATGCATCAGGGAGGCATGATAAGGCCACCAGGGGGTCTATACCCGGTCGCAGGGTATCAAGATGTGAGAGCGAGTGGATTGGAAGCAAGAAACTTCGCTCCGCAGCAACAAGCAAGGGGAGAACTAAACCAGGAGCGAGCTCTGGTGGTACGTCAAGCAGATCCGAATGGGGAGGATCGAACCTCACACGAAGTGATTATCAGGGAACACCAACCCCCCCCGCCGGGGATGGACATCGAGGAAGTAAACCCGTTGGGGAAACGCAAAGAGAGAGAAAGAGGAGCGAGTGCAGCAACATCGGAAGCATCAACAACGCAAGGAGGGGCACGCACAGGAATCAACGAGCAAGAGGGAAACTCTCGGTGGGTGATACCGGAGGGAGTAACCACTTTGGAAAGAGGGGAAAGGGAGAGGGAGGAATCCTTCTTACTTCCCTTCGTCTGTGCTTTGCATGGGCAGGAAATATTCGTAATAGGCCTTAAGGCTCAAGACGGATCTATGGCTCTCCCGACAGTTTCGATCCAAGGCCTAGCGACTCCGGAGATTATTGCTACTCAGACCAGAAGGATATACAACGACCGATTCCAGTTTCGAATCTTCCCGGAAGAAATGATGGCGAAACTGATTACAGATTTTCCGGGGGGGCGAAGACTGAAGTATGCAGCACCACTGATTGATGCAAGGATCCCTCCAGAGTGCTGGAACGGGTTGAACAAYGTGGGGCTGGAATGTGTACGCCTCAACTGTTTTGTCACAAATGAGGTAGCGGTTTTGTCCCAGATTGCGGTTGATCCGCGAATACCGGCTAACTTCTTAGCAGGGTTAGACATGTTATTACCGAGATCACGAAATTTGTCCTCTCAGTACTTTGTTAATGCCCTTCGGGGTAGCTGGGAGGAAACCAGGCTGTTGAGGACTGACAGTGAGGGGGGCAATCATCACGCGAGCGCGTCAGCTCCGGCAATTGGCTAGAGATGAGTAGGTGTCGGCTTGTTACCTGGAATGTGCAAGGGCTGGGAGGCACGGGAGGTAGATGTAAGGGGACTAGAATTAAGTCATGGGTACACGCGAAAAAGGCAGACATCCTGTTCATTCAAGAAACGAAACTTTCAGAAAGGAAGTTGACTGAATTGAAGGACTGGTGGACTGGTCCACAGCTATGGTCACCAGCGAGGGGAAGTAAAGGTGGGGTGGCGATCCTTGTTCACAGCAGAATAGATGCACAACTTATCGATTTTGACTCGGACCTATGGGGAAGATGGTGCTGGGTTAAGTTGGGTATAGGAGAGGAGGATTGGACTCTTGCCTCTGTGTACGCACCAAACAATCCACAGGAAAGGTTAGCCTTTTATCAAACGTTGCCACTGGTTTTGCCAAAGACTGATAAGTTGGTTGTTACGGGAGACTGGAATCAGATAGTTGCCCCTGGTATTGATTCAGAGAAAGAGGACACGCCGAAAAAAAAACCGTAGCTACCTGATTAGTTGGATGGAGGCCTGGGCATTGAAAGACATCTACAGGATCAGATATCCAAACAGCGAAGGATTTACCTGGTTTGGTAATCCAGTTACGGCCCCATTTACGAAGAGAAGGTTGGATTTCTTTCTCATCTCAGAAGAAGCATGTAAGTTGACTGTCAAAGTGGAGGAACAGAAGGGCCCGGTCTCAGATCATAAGCTAGTAATTCTAGACATTGCAATGGGGCAGAATTTGGAGCGTGGACCAGGATTGTTTAGGTTGAACGTCTCAAATCTGGAGGATGAAGGCTGGAGGAAGTGGGTGGATGATTTTTGGACCTCGTGGAAAAACGCCAGGGATTGCTTCGACACAATAGCAGAATGGATGGACGGGGGCCTTCAGATAATTCCGCGCAAATTGGATATTTTCTCACAGATCGCTGCTTTTCAAAGAAACAGCGAGGAGAGGACTCTCTGGAGGAGGGTAGAAGAAGCGGAAAGAAACATGTGTGGCCATCCAGTCTCGGAGGCAGTCTGGGCAGAGGAAAGGGCGGAAAGAGTTAAAGTGTGGGAGTTGCATCAAGAGAATAAGGAGAAGAGATGGAGACAGATCCTGGAAGTGAAAGGGATCCTAACATCAGATTCAGATAATTCCGCGCAAATTGGATATTTTCTCACAGATCGCTGCTTTTCAAAGAAACAGCGAGGAGAGGACTCTCTGGAGGAGGGTAGAAGAAGCGGAAAGAAACATGTGTGGCCATCCAGTCTCGGAGGCAGTCTGGGCAGAGGAAAGGGCGGAAAGAGTTAAAGTGTGGGAGTTGCATCAAGAGAATAAGGAGAAGAGATGGAGACAGATCCTGGAAGTGAAAGGGATCCTAACATCAGACAGAAGCACTAAGCAGTCCTTCAAGAAACTCCTTCCCCGGAGGAAGCAAGTCATCATGTCCGAGTTAGAACACCCGCTACTGCCAGACATGCCAAGAGCATGTACGCTGGACTCAATGAGCGAGTACGCGATGGCGTACTTTCAGGACATCCTAACTTCCAAACGCTTGGACGAGACCATAGACACAGACATGTCGCTCTACACAGATCTCTGGAGCAACTTGCAGGCTACCCTCACACCAACCACAGACAGGGGCTTGACAGACCTGTCACGTCGGAGGAATTGCAACAGACTGTTAAGGCAATAACCAAGGGCAAAGCGCCCGGGGACGACGGTTTCCCGGTAGAATTTTATGCAGCATGTTGGGCTACCCTGCAAGATGACCTGGTACAAATTTATAACGAAATTCTAGTAGGCGGAAAGCTCGGACTGACAATGACCAGAGGTATCATTACCCTGATGTTAAAGAAGGGAGATAAGTCGCTAGTCAAGAACTGGCGACCTATATCCCTTCTAAACGTCAGTTACAAGATATTGGCTAAGACGCTGGCTAGCAGGTTAGCGGTAGGCCTTCCAGATCTGGTAGGTAAGGAACAAGGTGCGTTTGTGAGAGGGAGATCTATTTTTGAGAATATCCTGACTGCAATTCAAGTTTTGGAGGAGATAGAAGCAGAGGACAGAGAAATGGCAGTCTTGCTACTGGATCTAGAGAAAGCATATGACAGAGTGAATTGGGCATTCGTGATGACAACACTGAAACAAATGGGTTTCGGAGAGTGTTTCTGCAGGTGGGTTAAAGTTTTATACTCTTATTCTACTGCAGCGGTAATGGTAAATGGTTGATGCTCTGAAGAGTTTTCCCTCTTGAGATCTCTCAGGCAAGGGTGCCCAATTGCACCGCTGCTGTTTGTGCTGCAAATGGAGGTGCTGACCAACAGTATCAGAAGGAACACATCAATCAAAGGGCTGAAGATCTCGACAGACAAAGAATGCCACGTCAAAGCGTTGGCAGACGACCTGTTTGCGGTCTGCGAGAACAGGAAGGACTCCTTGGAAGCGCTCAAGAGATGCCTGGCCATTTATGCTGTGAGTACTCTGAAGCTGCAGTAAACTGCGACAAATCTACCTATTTTCTCCCAGTATCACAGCAACTACAGGTAAATTGGGGGATGAACAGAGTAGCAGCAGGCAAGGCAGAACGGTTCTTAGGAGTAATGGTTGCGCTGGAGGACTGCTCCTCCTCCCAAGGCATAATTTTACAAGAGAGGGTGAAGAACAGGATTAAGGATTGGGGGGAAGCTAGGCATTTATCACTGATTGGTAGGGCTTTGGCCATTAATGTCTCGGCCTTTAGCCTACTGTGGTTTGTGGCCAAAACAAGAAATATTCCTCCAGAGGCGTTGAAAGAGATCAAACGAGCAGCGAGAGTCTTCCTATGGAAGCCATACGCGAAACCAGGAGAGGGATGCTTGGCGAAGGTGGCATGGGAGATACTGTGCCGTCCACGAGAAGAGGGAGGCCTGGATCTGACAGATCCACAGACACAAAACCGGATCCTCCTGTGCCCGTGGAGACTCAGACAAATAATAGAAGCGCTGCCCCTAGAATGGAAGCTCCTCCTGGGCCCGAGTGGAGTCAACCCACCAGGAACATGGTTTCGTGCAGAAGATCCAGGGAATCAGCGCTTCTATAGGTTGGAAAAATGGGATGAAGTGCGGGAGGGGAAGTGTGTAATGCAGGTCTTCGAAAAGGAGAGTCAGGATGCCCCCAAGCTTATTTCCTTCGGTACTGTGGAAAGATATGTACTTAGTGGCCTAGTAGAGTGTAGAGTAAGAATGGGAGAAGAGAAGAATCAAGTACCTATGATTGTAGGGGGTGGAAGGCCGTATCAGAAATTAAGGTTAGACTCAGAAGCTTGGGGTTGGTCAGGGAAAAGTCAGAACATAGTGGGGTTAGGTAACATGGGTAAAAGTACCGCCTGTTGTCACAAAAGGGAATGTCAGACCCTGGAAAAGAAGCTGACAGACAGATGGGAAAAGACGGTTCATAACATCCCACCACCGAAGGAGGAGGAGCTCAAACGGCTCAGGAGCCAGCTGAAGAGAATACCATCTCAGAAGCTGGCCTCCCTACTGTGGCTTCAATCGCACTTGGTTGTACCTACAGCAGTGTGGCTAAGAAACAGGGGAATGGATAGGATCGATACTAAATGTGTAAGATGTAATTGGATCTATGAGGATGCAAGGCACTTATGGTGGGATTGCCCAAAGTCACAGAGATGGTGGAAATGGTGGCCTTTTAATTGGAAAGAGATCACAGGCAGAAATAAGTTCTGCGATGAAAGATGGGTCCTATTAGGGGCGCTGCCAGATGGAGAGACAGGCAAAGAAGGCTGGGGTTATATAGCGCAGGTCACAAGAGGAGTGATGATGTGGCTTATTTGGAAAGATAGAAATGCGATGCGGTTTGAAAGGGAAGAATGGGCGGATAAACAGGCCTTTGAATTGTTCAAGCACATCCTAGCCAATGAGGTTAGAGCAGACTGGCAGCGCACCAGGAAACGGGAAGGGAGACAGAAAGGGCTGAACTGGTTTTTAAAGACATGGGCAAAAGGTTCGTGCTTTGCATCTGTAGCATCAGGGGGGAGATTGATCCTGTCAGATTGGTTGAATACACGAGGATAAGTATACGGGCGGCACAAGATTTAGCGAGTTTTGATTAGGGAGAGGTTAGTTAAGAACCAGGACACTCGGTTCCTGTCGGCAATCGCAGTAGATTGCAGTGGGTAAAGGGTGGGAAGGAGAGTGTCCGGGGGGGGGGGGCTTTAGGAACGCTGTGAGCGGTCCTCTCGGTCGTGGTGGGCCAGGGACAGACCGGTATTGTAGGTCTGTGTATCTGTAGATTTAAGGTAGTAGGGTAGGGAAGAGAGGATATAGTCGGATAGATAGATCTGGAATTGGAATGGTAGAATTGGATAGGAAGTAGGAAGAGTAGATTGAGGCTGCGACCCATTCGTGGAGTTATACAGTAGAATTTCAAGTTTCAAGTGAAACTGGCTGAGGCTACCAGGATAACTCCGGGTTGAATTGTGAGGGTCCCCGGCCTCGTTGATATTGTTTTCTGAGAATGAATGGAATGCTTTGTTTTGAAAAAAAAAAAAAAAAAAAAAATACAGAACAGGGGTCAACAAAACAGATCCCAGATGACAAGTCCCACATGCAAGCACCGGCCCTGCCCACAGGCCAAACGACGGGACAAGACCAACCAGGATGTCAAGCATTCTTGTCTGCAAAAAACTCAAAAAGAACCCGGAGAACCGGTATAAAAAACAATCCCGGATGACAATTCCCACATGCAAGGACCACCCCGCGTTCCAAAAGGCCGAACAACGGGAAACAACCAACCAGGATGCCAAAACAATAAAAAAGCCCGGATATATTTCCCTTATCTGCAATTGCGATTTGATGAAATAAATACAGACATAAATAACATGAGCGTATCAAAATTTAAAACTTTTCGACAAATCTTAGAAAATGTCTGGCAAACAAAAAAAAACTTACTCAAAAACAAAACAAAAAGAAAGTTCGATAACTAATTGGCGAGACCACGGAGTAAGTCCGGAGATACATGACACAGTTTCTCTGCGGATCTTGGAAATAACGCACTTGCATCCAAGTCTGTATTTTGTTTTGAGAAGCTTTGCATACCTCGTTCAATTGAATA